AAAAAAAAAAAAAAACAATTACAGTTCCAGTAGCACTTTTCATAGTTCTACATTTCCTTATAAAAATTACGGACCTTTTTTTTTTAGAAAGAAGAACTATGAAAAGTGCTACTAAAATTGTATTTGTTTTTTTTTTATATTAATAGAATGTCATGCTAACTTCACAGATCTCTTCTTTATACATTTTGGAGAGATTATTTTGTCTGCCGCATATAATTTTTTATTGCAACCTTAAAAGTATTGCACATTGCTGCAATTTTTATCTTGTTTCGTAAACTTAAAATAGCAATAAGAAAATTACAAATTTTACTTTAATTAATTAAGAGTTAATTCGGTAACAAATTTAATCCAATTTAAATTACATACAAAAGATTTCATAATCTTTTTTATTTATCGTTATTAATATTTTTCCTTCTAATCAAATATCTTCTTTGTTTTGAGATATTATCGTATAGTAAACAAACATTTTAAATTACATTCTATCGAATCAAGCTCACAGAATAAACTGTGGTTCGAAACAAAGTATTGAAACAAAGAAGAAAGAGATTAGCGCATCGTGAAATGTCTCTGTTGTTTTCGATATTTAATACTATCCTTGGTGAATCACTGTTCGCAACGAACTTTCCTCGCGAGATAAGCTCTCGAATAAGTCCGCATTAGCGGAGCAACGGAAATAACGTTATCGGGATGAGTCATGGCAAAAACTTTATCAAACTGCATTTGCAAACGTAATCAACAGCACGTACATACCTACGTCGTCGGATTGATACGGTATATCGATTGTACCGTTACGCATCGCGAAATTTCTGCCCCGTAAAAACAAGACGCTAAGCCTATTCGAGAGGGTGAAATCGACCATGGATCCATTGCAACTTTTATAAGCTGAGACCAATATGTACAATGGCCCTGATTGATCGGATATTGACGAGTGCTAAGCATCGCGTCGCCGACACGACCTACTGCTCGACTGCCGACGTTTTTACCTGCTCGATACGAGACACGATTTTTGTCACGATTCTGTACTCGCCTCCGTACTACCGTTATCCGGTTGGCGTAGTTTCCATTCGATACCTCGCGGCAGGTGAGAACGAAGGCTAAACTCGTTTACACACGTAGTCGACTTGTATATATATTGTATATATTTCGCGCGCGCACCCGCGTGTACGCCGCGTGGCGCAATTTCGCAACTATTGAATACCGAGCCGATACAAAGATTTTGTAGATTGCGAGAGCTTCACAAATTTCGCAAGCTCTGTTTAATAAATTTGACAAACCCCGCGTATATTCTGCAAAGCGTTGCAAAATTCCTTTCGATTTTAACGACTCCGCCTGATCGGAGATGACTGTCGGCGTCCGAATTGCGTCGTGATTCTTGAAACGTTGTTTTTTTTTCATTTTCAAGGCATTACCCTCGACAGCCAATTACTCGCTGCTTCCGGCGCTTTCTGTATAAATAGGAAAACTTTCTCTCGCGCGATAGGTAACGGAAGATTCCTCATCGTGACGTTCGGCTCTTACGTCGCGCGTTGCGAGGAATTTACTTAAAATTCCGACCCTGCCTTCCGGCGTAATCGTGAATTTCTATTCTTGTCTCCATTCAATTTTCTAAAAATCCATAAACGACGCGTAGTTGAGTATCGTTTTTCTAGCGCATAATATATATTTGTACGATAAATATGATAAAAATCAAGGTAAATCGTGCAAAAAGTTCACAAATTATTAGAAAAAGATATACATATTATACGATTAAATAGTAAAACAT